CCGCCTTGCCGCGCACCTGCCTCTGGAGTCTTCCAGTCCTCTTAGCCCCCCAGCTGCCCAGGGCAGCCCGAGGCTCAGGTAACCAGGGCTGGCCGAGGCTTGTGCTGCTGGCAGTGGCAGCAGCAGAGGTGTGATGGGGGCATCGCCTTCCCCTGATCACCAGGTTGCCTCCCGCCCCTGAGGGCTCCCGGACTGTGAAAGGGGCAGGCCCGGCTGAAGGACCCCAGGGAGTAACTGAAGCCATTATCATCTTTATTTTGCAGGGAGAAAAAATTTTCCCAAGGGCCTACAGCAAGGAAGGGGTAGATGTGGGATGTGATCTTTCAAGGCAGGGCCCCCAAGGTCAGGGGACATTTGGAAAACTTAGGGTATTGGATTAATGCCTATCCTTGGGGTCTATTTTACAAAGGTGAATGGTGGCACCCTGAACCCACAAGAAAGCAGGCAGAAGAGACAGGCCATAAAGGAGGCAGACACTTGGGCATCTGCTCTGACCAGGACAGGGGTAGAAAGCAGATTTGTTCCTCTGATGATGACAGTGCCATGAACATATAAGAGCACCAAAAGTGGTAGCTATGTGCCCAGCATGCGTGAACTGATTTATATAAATTATTTCTTTTCATGCTTAAATGTCTACAAGGTCAAGGAATTTTGTTTTATTTTCTAATATATCCCCAGCACCTAGAAGAGAGCCTAGCACACAGCAGGCTCTCAGTAAATGTTTGCTGCATGAGTGAATACTCACAATAGCCCTCCAGAGCAAGTTTTATTATCTGTTTTATAAACATGGAAACAGGCCAGAGAAGTAACTTGCTGGAGGCTCCGTCGGAGGCAGAAACATGTTAGTTCCCTGCACTGTGGTGATTCCAGAGAGGTTCCCATAACAGCTCAGCTGGCCCCCTGCCCCTCCCATAATGCCAGAGACTATTCTCTCTCCTACTCTATGGAGCACCTGCTGCTGGGCCACTTCTTCCTGTTACTTGTGTCTCATCCTCATAGGGGAGATTTCAGTTGCTCCCTGGGGCCCATGGGCCTTGCATGATCCTCCCTTGGCATCATCTCCTGACCCCTGGCCCTTGAATCCTAAACCTCCTACCAGTTCCCCCAGTGGGTCAAGCCTGTGCACCTGCCATTCCTTCTGCCTGCAGTGTTTCCTCCAGTGGTTCTCTGCCTCTGTATTATCCTCCCACCACTCAACCCTCCAATCCTCTCATTACGAACTGTAAGCACCACAACAGCAAAAACTTTGTTTTGTCCACTACTTATTGAGATAATATTTACATATCATAAAATTCACCCATTTGGTATGTACAATTCAATGAGTTTTAGTAAATTTACTGAGGTGTGCAACTATCACTAAATCCAATTTAGAACATTTTCATCACCCCAGTCAGATCCCTCATGCTCATTTACAGTAACTCCCACTTCCACCCCCATTCCTCAGGCAACCAGTCATCTACTTGTTGTCTCTATAAATGTGCCTATTCTGGACATTTTATATAAATGAAAACATATAATGCTCAGTCTTTAATGTCTGGCTTGTTTCACTTAGCATAATGTTTTTGAGGTTCATCCGCATTATAGTACACATGGGTATTCCATTCCTTCTTATTGCAGGTAGTGTTCTATTGTATGGATATGCCACCTGGTTTATCCATTCACTAGCTGATAGGTCACAGAGGGATGTTTCCATTTCTTGGCTATTATGACTAATGCTATTTTTTTGTTATTTTTAAAATATGTTTTTATTGATTTCAGAGAGAGCGAGGTGGAGAGAGAGAGATCAATGATGAGAGAGAATAATTGATCAGCTGCTTCCTGCATGCCCCCTACTGGGGATTGAACCTACAACCCAGGCATGTGCCCTGACCAGGAATCGAACCGTGACCTCCTGGTTCATGGGTCAACGCTCAACCACTGAGCAACCCTGGCTGGGCGACTAATGCTATTTGAACATTTATGAGCAAGACTGTGCGGACATATGTTTTTCTTTCTTTTAAGTAGATACCTACCTATAAGGGAATTGGGTCACATGGTAAGTTTATGTTTACCTTTTAAAGACACACTGCTTAAAAGTGACTCCACTATTTTGTATTCTCACCAGCAACATGTGAGGCTTCTCATTTCTTCACATCCTCACCAACACTTGACATTATCTGTTTTTACTTATAGCCATTCCAGTAGCATGTGAATAAAATGGTATCTCATTGTGTTTCATAAATATTTGAATGAATAAATAAATAATCTCTGAAGCTGGACAGAACTTGGGTTTGAATTCTGGTGGTGATTACCTGGAGCAAGTCACTTCTGCACACAAGACATAATGGTGGTACCTTGAGAAGCAGAGTATCTGCTATAGATTATATGCCCCCTAAAAGGTAGCTGCTATCATCATCACCACCATCATCATTATTATTAATATTATTATTACCATCACCCCAGGGACAAGCCCATACCAGTGACTGGGATGATGGCAACTAACACCTGTTAAGTGCACATCCTAACATGTCAGGCTCGCTTCTAAGCATTTGATATGTACTAATGCTTTAATCTACACAATAACATATGAGATTGGTACTGTGATCGCCTCTGTTTTAGATGAAAAAGCAGAGATTCAAGGAGTTTACATCACTTGCCCCATATCAGAGTAAATAAGTGACGGAGCCGACATTGGACCCAGGCCATACTTACCATCACTGCATCCTGCTTCCTATCCTTACAAGGCAAACTAGACGAGTGCCATGTAGAGAGCAGATAAAATGCAAGTGGAGGATGGGGGAAGGAGAGATGACGTCTGCTCAGGCCTGGTGGGGGCATTCCATTGGAGGCTGCCCTAGGAGCCAGGCCTCCACTTGTGGAATTTGCTCTTCATTTTGCATACAGAGATAAAGGCATCTTTTGTGTTATGGCTCAGCAGTGACATCACAGGCACTGCCAGATCTTTATCAGTTCTGTCAGATTAATAGCTAAGTGCCCTTGCTCTGGAGGAACCAGCAAGGTGCAGAGTGGCAGAGCACTTGGATTCTTAAATAAGCAGGTGAGTGCTGGGCCCTGAGTAACTATGTGGAGGAGCCGCTTGGCGCTTACTTTACTGGGGGAAGCAATAGGAGACAGGCTGACCCCAGTGGGGAAGGCGTCAGGGGGCATGAGAAAGTGAGGTGGTGACGATGTTCTCTGTGGATTGTTGAGACGCTGCCATCTCTCTCCCTCTCTGTCTCACAACCTCTCTCTCTCTCTAGTGGCCATCACCATGGACACAAGCCTGGACCCATCCTTCTTCCCCGGCAATCACTGGCTGTACTTCTCCGTGTACCTCTTCACCTTCTTGGTGGGACTCCCACTCAACCTGGTGGCTCTGGTGATCTTCGCCCGCAAGCTGCAGCGCCGCCCAGTGGCCGTGGACCTGATCTTGCTGAACCTGACCCTCTCGGACTTGCTCCTGCTGCTCTTCCTGCCCTTCCGCATGGTGGAGGCGGCCAGCGGCATGCACTGGCGGCTGCCCTTCATTTTCTGCCCCTTAACCAAATTCCTCTTCTTCACCACCATCTATCTCACGTCCCTCTTCCTGACAGCTGTGAGCATCGAGCGCTACTTGAGCGTGGCCTACCCGCTGTGGTACAAGGCCCGGCCAAGGCTCCGACAGGCTGGCCTGGTCAGTGGGGCCTGCTGGCTCCTGGCCACTGGGCACTGCAGTGTGGTCTTTATCACCGAATTCTCAGGAAACTCTTCCCACAACACCTGCTACCTGGAATTCCAGGAGGAGCAGCTGGCCATTCTCCTGCCTGTCCGGCTGGAGATGGCTGTGGTCCTTTTTGGAATTCCCCTGCTCATCACCAGCTACTGCTACAGCCGCCTGGTGTGCATACTCAGGAGGGGAGCCAGCCACCGGCGGAAGAGGGTGGCAGGGCTAGTGGCAGCCACGATGCTTAACTTCCTCATCTGCTTTGGGCCCTACAATATTTCTCATGTTGTGGGCTACCTCCAGGGTAAAAGCCCAGTGTGGAGAAATTACGTGCTACTCCTCAGCACCTTGAATTCTTGTGTTGATCCCTTGGTTTACTACTTCTCATCATCTGGGTTCCAGGCTGACTTTCAGAGGCTGCTGCAAAGGCTGCCTGGGGTCTGGGGCTTCTGGAGGCAGGAGAGCTGCTTGAAACTGAAGAAGAATGAAGAGGAGCAACCTCAGGAGCTGTCCAATGTAGAGAACAGGTAGTGGACTCTAGGAGGGCTGTGGAGCGGGTGGCAAGTGGCCTGAACTGAAAGACATCTCATTCACAGGGCAGTTCCTAGCTCAAGTCAGGCGGGACCTGGGAGTGGCAGGCTGGGGACTGATGCAGTCGGAGCAGAGCAGGCACCCAGCCTTCCTAAGGATGTGCTCACCAAAGCCCAATTCTTGATTTCACCACACTGCCCTCCCTTCCCATCTCCCCACACGCTGTGGATTAGGCCTAGGACGTAGTCAAGGTGAGAGAGCTCTGGAGAAAAATGAGCTCTCGGTGACAGCAGCCAGCTCCGGTGCTTTTCTAAGTGTAAAAGAGGAGTTGAGAGCAGTGTCCAGGGCCGAGGGAGCTACCCAGTGACTTGAAACAAGAGAGAAGAATCTACCCTTCAGAGCCACTGACCTGGCAAGTCAGGAGTGGGACACAGGATCCAGGCACGAAGGAGCATCCTGCTCTCACATGGACTTTTCCAGAAAATTTCCATTGTTCAATAAATTCAGATTTTCAGGGACATCTATGAAAAAATGACAGAACAAAAATTACCTGAATAAATTTGATAGCAAGCAAAAGTCTTTCCTTATTCTGTTTTCTTATGGTGCACATGTGTCAGGTGGAATTGGTGGGTAGAAGGATTCAGAAGGGAAAGGACTAAACAATAAGATGTCTGAATGCTGGGAGAGGATCTGGGTTGGAGGAATAACAATAATAGCCGACATGTTATTTTCTTCAATCCTCTCAATAACCATGTAGCAGGTAAAATTTCTATTTTATAGATGAGGAAATGGGCCCAGGGAGGCGAAGTCTCTTACCTGAGATCCTACAGCCAGTAAGTGATTAAAATAAAACCTCAAGGCGGGATTAGCTGACTCTGAAGTCCATGCCCCTCACCCACTCTGCTGTTCTCCCTCCAGCTGTGCGTTACCACAGTGATCGGGCCAGTCCATCTTCCAGAGTCAGGGAGGCAGTCTGGCCAGGACAAATGTCAACAGGCCACAGTGAGACATAGAACTACATGCTGCCCTGTGCCCATCTAAGCAGGTAAAGGAAACTGGTAGAGAGATGGTGTGGGGTGTATGCGCAAGTGATGGGGCATCATGCATTCTTGCCATTTGGCAGAACAAGTAGGTGTGTCTCTCACGGGTGAGGGGCTTGCAAGCATGAGTGAAAGTTCTGGGGGGTGCAAGAAGAAGTCAAACCAGGTTGGATCTACCATGACAGAGGTCAAATGAACTCAATTCTGCAAAAGAGAGCCAACCATTGGGCACCTGACTCACAGTGGATATCAAAAGCTACTCAATATTAGCTGAAACACCATTTCTCAAACATTTTTGTATCATTGTCCCCTACGGAGTCTTTTAAGATATTTTTTTCCTACTTGGCACCTTGCCTATGACATTTTAATACAACAGATATGCTATATATCTGTTTATGGGTGTGGCCTTTCAGAAGTGCACAAACCACTGTAAGATTTTTTTTTTTTTTTTTTGCTTCCACAGAACTAATTTTCACCTCTTTTGGGGGCAATATTGCCTCACTGAGAATGCAAAAGTTAGAGAAATGGTTGTATCCAATAGTGATAAAGCCTGTCTCATACAACTGTACCAAACAAAGTTTATTCTCTCGCAGGAGCAAAAGACACCACATTCCACAGAGGGAGTGTGAGCGATCTCACAAAAGAAGGGACAGGGGTACTATAGAATTTGGGGGAAGGGTGATGTTTAGGTGAAGTTTCAATGAAGCCACGTTTGACAGGCTCACAGCAAAGCAGAGCTGTACATAAAGACAGCAATATCAGGCCTGGACCTAGAACAGCGGTTCTCAACCTGTGGGTCGCGACCCCTTTGGGAGTCGAATGACCCTTTCATAGGGGTCGCCTAAGAACATCGGAAAACACATATATAATTACATATTGTTTTTGTGATTAATCACTATGCTTTAATTATGTTCAATTTGTAACAATGAAAATACATCCTGCATATCAGATATTTACATTACGATTCATAACAGTAGCAAAATTACAGTTATGAAGTAGCAACAAAAATAAGTTTATGGTTGGGGGTCACCACAACATGAGGAACTGTAGGGCGTGCAGGAGGCAGCTGATTGATGTTTCTCTCTCATCAATGTTTCTAACTCTCTATCCCTCTCCCTTCTTCTCTGTAAAAAATCAATAAAATATATATTTTAAAAAAAAGAAAATAATTTTTATGGTTGGGGGTCACCACAACATGAGGAACTGTATTAAAGGGTCACGACATTAGGAAGGTTGAGAACCACTGACATAGAAGAAGAGTCAGGATCCCATTTCTATGGAAAGATACAAAATAAAGACAGAGGTTGAATTTTGCATCTGAAAACTCCTTATCTGAAGCCCTGGGGGCTAAAGGCAAGGCTGCTTCTGTGTGTCACAGGCTCCCACCTGGGTCTTCCTAGTAGCAGGGGGATGTTTCATTTTTACTGACATGATTTGATTTCAAACAGTCAAGGTTGCTCAGCAATCTACTTTTTAAAATTAATAAGTAAGTTTTTAAAGATGTACAAAAAGAACTCATTGTTGGCCATGAAGTAGGAGAAACTTTTCCCTCCTAGAATGAAGGGCCTCCTTCACTAAAAACTAGAGCAGCACAACCCAGAAGGACAGGAAGTAGGGGAGCCTCAGCCCCCTGACACAGGTTCCCTGGGCCACAGGTCAAGTCTCAGTTTATAGGAGAAGAGGGAGTTGGCTAGAAGCTTCAAATCACCAAGTGTGACTGGAAACCTAGCAAAGCTACCCAGGAAGTGATTAAGGAACCCTGCAAAGATGGTTCACTGCGGCCTGGTGGACGACAGTGAGTGGTGAGACTGTTGCAGGCTTGTGCTGTGACCAGCTCAGACCACTCCTAAAGCAGGGTCAGTTAGAGGAGGTGGAGGCAGGAAGTGGAGAGGAAGCCCAGCACAGGAGGCCAGCCAACTTGATGCCTTCTCTCCAGGATCTGCATATGTGCCTTGTGGGAAAGCTGTGCGCAAAGCAAGAGCAGTGTATCTGCTTCAGCTGGATCCTGGAAAGGGGCAAACACTAGAGGAGGTCAAGGTTGGGGGAGGAGGAAGGGAGGTGAAGAACAGTTGGGAATAAGCAAGAGGCCTGGGAGTCTGCAAAGTTCGTTGTGAGAATCATCCAAAAGGAGGGAGCAGAACAATAATAAAGGTAGAAAGGCACATGGAAGAAAAGTCAGGCCATAGATCTGGAAGAGGAGAAAGAGGTGGGAGACAGAATCTGAGTGGGGAAACAAATAGAGTGATATAATGTGAGAAAGCACTCAGCTTTTTAACCTTCTTTTCTCTGATAGGACTGACTCTGGTTTAAAAAAAAAAAAGCTACAAGTGATACATACAGGTAGTTGTGGCCCCTAAAACTTTGCAAGGTCTGTGAGAAGCCTGCTGACTGTAAGCTAGTTCTGAAAAATAATCCATATGGAGGGAGATTAAGGCATCAAGATGGTGGCCCATGTTCTGGAAAAAGGATGCTAGGATCACATTCCAAAAAAAGAATGGAATAGAAAGGAATGAAGTCTAATAAACATTGGTGGAAGTAGGAAGGTGCACAGAGTTCACCCCCCACCCCCCACGGACACATGGAACTAGGAGAGAGAAAATATTACAGAACAGAAAATGAGGTACAAAAATATTTTTGGAAGGGGGTGATTTTACTGGATTTAGACTAGAAGGTTCAGTGAGACGACCCAATCAGTCATCCCCTGTTGTGGGGTCAAATTGTAATTGGCACTAATCATGATCATCTTTTTCCCCTTTATTAAGGTGACTGGTCTCAGGATAGACACATGACCCAATTCTGGCCAATAAAAGTATGAAGTCTACTAGCCTCTGGGAAAGATTTTGTGAGGAGCTGCCCTGTTCGGTTTGGAAGCTTTTATGTATGTGATACTTGGAGCTGTACCAGTCATTTTGGGGCCACAAGGCCACAAAGTTGAAGAAGAAAGCTAAGAAGCTAAGAGTGGCCCTGGGCCCCGATGACCTTATTGAGCTGGGACTACCACTTCCAAACTCATTGTTAATAAACATCGCCATGTTTGCCTTGCTGTTGCCTATTCTCTAAGTTGCAACCACATGCATCCTAACTATAATGGATAAGTCTATTTCGAAGCATCCTATATTCTACTACGACCTACCTGATGACCTCTTTTCTTACTTTAAATTATTTTATGATTCTTGAATCTTAAAACTCAACTGCTTTCTTTGTAGGAGCTATGAAATCTTAGTGTTCATTTTATCTCTTATGCCTGCACTTGGGAGATTTCTTATGGTTCCAGTCAGTAGCTCTAGCAGCAAGATGTCGTGACTCCTCTCACTGAGAAGCAGGCTTTTGACAGTGAACTGGTTATGGCCGCATGGCAACAACATTACAAAACAAAAAACAAACCTACTGGGTGGGACCCTTTTAAGGCCAAGTACCATCTAAAAATGTTTATGCTTATTATGGGACCTTAATTGGCATGAAAACAAGAGAGGGTTGAATGGGTGGATCATGAGATGTTGTCCTATGGAAGGGTCCTTGATCCTGCTCAGTGTTCTTAGAAGCAGGTGATCTACCCAGTCATCTTGTCTTGGAGTCACTATAACGTACACAATGCCCACATGAAGGTAAGGACATGCGTTCCTGGATGCTAATTTACTACTTACAGTTAACACACGCAATAAGCTTGCTGCTTATTGATTCCCTCCATTTCTGCCTCCCTTTATAATAACTGTTTTTTTTAGTTCCCTATGCTTACAACACTCATCTTTCTGATACCATAGAATATGGTAAATAACTTCCTGTTTGTTTATCCTTTGGAAAGTAATTAAATTACTTACTGTGAGTAAAAAAGTCAATTGGAAAAGATGTAAGCAGGAAAGTTACCTGCAGAATGAACTAAACAAACAGACCAGCAAGCTTGGGCACTGGTTGGGGTACCAGCAGGGCTCCTACTGCTGCAAGCTGACCGCATACCCAGCCAGGTGGTGAGAAATCAGACCAGGTTCTCTGAGATGAGAAACACAAGAGGGCCATGCAAACATCACTTTTGACCTTAAGACCCAGTGATGTCCTTCTAGGTATTACTCA